CTATCAGCCTTTATTCAAAGACCCATGCACTTTGATGAGCCACCCCACCCTCAAACCTTACGATTGGCTACACCCTTCCTTACCCCTTAACCTTAAAGAGTGATAAGAATCTAATTTCTCCCAACGGTATCTTCCCTGAATCAAACATAAAGGTCACGAGAATAAAGGAAATGATCATAAACTCAAGAAGTTCTTGATTTTTTAACACATTCTCCTTGTCAGCACCTTACAAAATGTATAGATACTCTTATTATATTTGTATTTCTGTATTTATAGATTCGTACAGTGTACAGGCGAGAGGACAATAGGACACACAGTCCCCTATTAGGTTCACCCACCTAAACCAACCCCAACCCACTTATCACACCCCAGGGGAGGACATCCATCACACAGTAATCTTGTGTGTGGGAAATTAACGTCTCCTACCCCCAACCCTGCAGGAGATGGGACCTCCATTTATTCTTCCCTATCGGAGAAGACTAGTCTAAGAATGTCTAACCATTTCTTGATGTTATAGAAAGGTAGCATATTGTTCTCAATTATTTTAAGACCTCGAGTGTTGGTCCAGCTGCGGCTCGAACCCTCGACCTCCCGCACAACAGTCCAGCGCTCTATCCATTAAGCTAACTTGGAGGTGGTAAGAGAACAGTAAAGAAAACTTGCAAACTGATGCTAGGGTATAAAGGAATAGTAACTAAGGAAGTGATTTTTTTTAACTCATTCATGCAAAAATTAACTTATTGTGCTGTATATGTCAGCTACAAAAATGGAAAGTAACATGAATTGTAATCCTGTATTGGGCACTAACACTACCCAACGTAACATATTTGAACTACACACAACATGACTGGGTAACATACCCGTCCAGTAATCTTCAGTAGTGGTGGTGTAGGTAATGCTTCTAGAAAAACTGCAGTAGAAGACTAGAGGGGAAAAATGAAGAACCTCAAGCTTTACCCAAGTTACACAAAGGTGAATACCTCTTATTGGAGGTGAAACAAAATGACCAAATATTGGGGTTTTGAATTAAACTCCTGCCTTAAAATGAAAACTTAATTCAGATCTTAAAGCAATAACAGTTTTCATGGTTTCTTGTTAAGACAAGGATTCTAATTGTTCTGTATTCTACTATAATTTTGGCTGTATGGAAAAATTTAATATGTTAAAAATCAGAGAATTCTGTTGATCTGTGTCCAAAATCATTGAACCAAGTATTAGTAAATGGTTTGCAAAAGACAACTCAAAGATCTAATTAACAAGAGGCTAAGGAGAGGGAAGCAATAGCAGACAAGCTGCGGCAAAGAATGGAAGAACATGACTGAGCAGGATGTTATACAAGGTGGAGAAGACTATACAGTGAAAGCTATAGCATAGGCCAGGTTATATCCACCAGGATGCCATCACACGTTACTGGCATCTGACCACCATTAGCATAGCACTGGTGGTGACAGCCATATATAGCAATCATGAATATAAAAAGTTAATGGATCAGGTCAGTATCTGAGCAACTGCCCACCCACCCCTCCCCTAACCCAATAACAGTCAACTGAGAACAAGTTAAGGCTAATGTTGGGTTACAAAGGGGAGGGGTGGGTGTGCAGTTATTCAGATACTAATACTGATCAGACTGATCCATGACTAACAATTAAGGGCCTGTGAAGGGAAAGTCAAGGATGTAGGGCTTTACTTCCACAAAAAGCTGTTATTTTTCTAACTTTTCTTAATACTTCTGTTCTTTTACAACATAAAATGAAAGAGCTTACTGCAGTTCCTATGATCAGGCTTTCTCCTACTGATATCTGAAGATGAAGTCTAAACAGTGCATTCATGCCTTTAACCTGTAAAGCAGATAATTAAGATAAGACTAGTATAGAAAACATCAGTTACCTGTTATTAATTGTCTACTTGATGGAGCTAGTTCAGGATAATTAATAGGATAGATTTTTATTAATATATAGAAATATTTTAGCATTAATGTAGTTTCTTTGAAATATTTGTTATGTAAACGGCCCACTGGAAGAGCATTTTTAATTTTTAAAGAAGTGATACCGTTAATAAAGCTTGATTGATTGATTGATTGATTGAGAACACTACAAGCTCCCTCAATGAATACCACCAGAAGATAATTAATAATAGGAGAGGGGAGGGGAGGGTGAATAAAGGGGTTCTGATATGAAGAGTAAGGAAACAGATCCTCAAGGCCTAATCTGTATTATTATAATAATGAAAGTTCAAAGTGAATCCACCTCAATGTTGGCAAAAAGTTCAAACTCGTGGTTGAGCAGTTACCTTAAGTTTGTTCAACAGCTGCTGGTGAAGTTCATACTCTAGAAATGGTAAAATCTGGAGGGAGAGAGGTAATTTCTTGAATAAAAGAATAAACTAAGAGAAAAATGCTAAAAGAAAGATAAACCAAAACTCAATTTTGTTTGAAAAAGTTTGTTTGACAAAATAACTAGTTGGAAGATATCAGGATAATAACTAAATCCTTATTCGCACCAGTTCCCTGAAAAAATGCATAGATTAAATACAATTTTATTGTTAAACCCTTTAATTTACCCCTAACATCTGTACGCAATTATTCTCCATACTGTTCTCTATACATTCCCTTGGATGCTAACAAGGAGAATTTGTTGTAACAATCAAGAAGTCTTTTTATTGGTGACCATTTCCTTTTTTTCCTTTACTCTTTTGTAGCCTTAACATGTGATTCAGGGGTAATGTTGTAAGGAAAAATTAGGTGCTAGTCACTCTTAGGGGTCAAAAAATGAAATGCGACATGCCAAATGACAAATGAGTACGGAGTGACATAATGAGTGACATGTTGAGCTCTTCATGTTTAGCTGTTTAACATATAAAATGCAGTTATTGTATTTACTTACAGAACTAACTATATCCGCATTTGCTTCACCCTTGTCTTTCTTTTTTGTTCTACAAACACTGGAATAGATCAGACAACAAATGTTATCACACACAAACTATGTTTGGACTATGGGAAACAATGTTTGAGTTGCAAAATTATTTTACTCAATGTAATATCAACAACAGCTGCTCTTTGCATCAAATTACTATTAATATGGTAATTTGGTAATATCAACTAAATTGAAATTGTAAATTGGCCACCGTAAAGAGTGGCCATCAGAGTGAATGGTGAAGGGCTAATGCTTGAAACGTCAGCTTTTTAACTCTTTATGGTGGCCAATTTACAATTTCAACTTTGTTGATATATATTACCAAATTACCTTGTTACCCCCACCGACGCAGCATCACAGTTTCTTTAGAAACTTATCCCCTTTACTATTAATATGGGCAAATACATTTAAACTTTTACAGTGCACACTACCTCTTCCTGCTTTGAGAATGAGTAAAATCCTTATTTTACTAATTAAAAATGAATGATCAAATTAACTACTCAGTGATTTGATTTTATTGCATTATCTAATATCACTTTTTTTTTCAACTGGTAAATTTTAAAATCTCGTTAATTAAAAAAATGTAAAATGGTTACCGAGCCTGCAGTAGACAACCTCTGCCAACAATGGGTGATTCAACTGGTGGCTCTGTTGTCGCAAATATTACATCAGGAACTTTCTTAATCCTGTGTAGTAAACAAATTATGTTGTTTATTAGCTTTCAATAAATGATCATTGCTAAAAGAAAGTGTGCCCTACAAAATGTCTACTGGCAGGGCTGACTCACAGAGTTGCTGAAGCTCATCTGACAGTGGGTTTCTAACACCTTTGACACCTTTTTACAATATATCACCCCTGAATCAAACACTTACAAGAATAAAGGAAATCATCACCAACTAAAGAAACTCTTCATTCTTACACAAATTCTCCACATCAGCACCTTAGGAAATGCTTCCAGACCACTAAGGCATGGATAAGCTCTTTGAGCCATGACGAAAGAATACCCTGGTTCCCAATTTAGATGCTTCCATGACCCAAGCCTTAATGAAACTCCTGCTCTGAAGCATGAATGCAACTGGGAGTATTAGTACATTGCTGGGATAGGATGCCAGTTCATGGCAAGATATCATTACACATTTTGTTAAGCTTCCTTGACCATTAGGCAAACTCTTGAGATGAGAGAGAGGCAATGTGAGTCCACACAATGCAGAGATGCCAACCTCTGGAAATCTAAAATCTGGAGATTTTTCTTTTATAATACTCCGGCATCGAGCTCCCTCCCCTAAGAGAAAAGTGGTACCCCCTCTCCATCAAATCGACCT